CATAGGCACTATAATAATTTCATCTCATTTCATTCATTATAGTACCTGGAGTCCCTTGGTACTGTGCCTTCATTTAATATTAAACCATTTTGAGTAGTTTAACACTGAGTAAGGTTCCCTGGCCCACCACTGCCCAACCCTCTGTCTAAGAGAGAGATTACACACTTCTTCTAGCCATAGTTCATGCAAGCAATGAGTGCTGTGATAGGCTGAAAGAGGTCACAGACACGCATTGCTGCTCAGGCTTGCTTTTTAGTCCAAGCAACACAGAAGCAATGGGCTGCTGGGGACTCTTATTTAACATTAAAAATGGTTTAACACTGAATGGAAGAGCAGAACCAGAGGACTTCAGACACTAGAACTGCTTCAACTAGTTGGAGCTGTTGCAGTGCCACTGCCTACAGAATCCCTCTAAGGAAGTGGTTTTGATGTAAAGAGCTTGTCCCTGTAGTCTGACAAATGTAAACACTGTTTTCTCTGTGAAAATGCATTGTATGCATTTGTCTCTAAGGATGCCTTTTAATGGCTGTAATGCAAAATGCAACTAAAAGTGCTTGGTAGTATGGTCCTACACACTTTGTAGGACTATTGCTCAACGTCATCACGCTGTTCTGCATGAAGATACTAAATGCTCCCCATGCATTGATATAATTCATCTCTATTAGGTGATTTTGATTGGTGCACTGTGGCTGTTGCGGAAGGGAGGTGCATGCATTGTAGATCCCCAAGCCAGTTATTTTCTATAGAGATGCATGGATTGGTTGAAATACTTAGTAGTGATGATCTCAGCCATGGAGGAGAATCTGTCACAGCAAGACCAACAAGGAGTGGGATAGAATTGAGTAAAATGTCGTTCTTTTAAAATTAAGGGAGGTGGGCCCTACATCTAAATAGGCAATACGTACCTCTACTATTAGAAATACATGTTGCATTTGTATTGTTAAAGTGATCCTTAAAAGTAAGCAAAATTATATGCACCAATCTATTTATAAAGGACTGCATAATACAAAGCAGAGCACAACTTATACATTCAAACAGTATAATTTTAAATGAATGTGAATTTTTTTTCTAGTCCACATAATTATTTAATGTTAATATAACAAAATAAACAAATAAATAAAACGAGAAGAAGCAGAACCACAAACGTACACTTTATTAGTGATCAGTTTTCCAAATTACATTAAAAGTATACATTTCAAATAAGCAAACATATAATGTAATATATAAAAATACATTTTCCCTTTTACAATACTCTAAGGTTATAACAAAAATCTAAATTTTTTAAAGTCAAAATTCAGCTCTTCTTTGTGCACACACATACTTTTTATTTTAATACAATTTAATATTTGCTACTGATTGTCAGAGGGAGCTTCAATATATTATATTCAGTAGAGAATAAAGAGCAAATAAGAATGAAAAAATAAGTAAATCCTTTTACAAAACGTTAAGAATGCCATTATAATATGTGAAATATGCCCTTTGTGCTTTCTAAAAATTTATTTCTGAATGTATACTTTGCTCAAGCTGCAAAGTTAATGTATACTTGAGATCATCACAAGCCGCTCACATCATTATATGTGGAAAGCTTACAATGAGCACATTTTAAATCCTGCATATTCTTTTGCAGATGGCAATCAGCCTGGTGCAGTTCTGGAACTCAGGGTCACCTTAAAAAGGACATTGTTTCCCAAAAGTCCATACTTCTAACAAGGACATTTACTGAAAATATCTTATAGGCTGGTTCTTCAGACAAGATATTTATATAACTTTTTCTCCTGTGTCTTCCATCAAAATATCTATCTGTCTGTCTGTCTGTCTATCTGTCTGTATGTCTATCTATAGGTCTGCCTTTTTTTTCAGTCATTTTTGATGCCGGTCTGTCTATCTATCGTCTTGTAATACCTTTTCATTGGGCTAACAGAATTTTGGAATTACACGTTTTCGGGAAAACCTCCCTTTCTCAAGTCTAAAACATTTCTTAGCAAAAACGACAAGTAGAATTCAAAGTTGAGTTGTGATACAGGGGTTAAAGCGATGAGTACAGCTAAGGCACAGGTCTGATTGAAAATAAACACTATTCTCACAAAGGGTCAAAAATATCTAGAGTAAGGATTACAAAGTGAGGGGGGAAAGAGTGAGAAAAAACAGTGCAGGAGATGCTACAAAAAGAAAAACATTAATTACACAGATTGCATGTATTCACACCCAGTGATCCAGAATATGCTTGAAGTCCTGTTTACCAGCGGCAGAACTACCACATGCTGAAGGAGCCCATCATGTGGCCCATTCAGTAAGGTCCTCCCAATCACAATGCGTGCTCATGGGCCCGGACAGTGGTGTGACCTTAAATTGCGTTACCTGGCCCCTTAAGTTATGTCAATGCTGGCAGTAAGTGACAGCTAATCACTTCCTCCTCTGTGTGTATCTGCATATGTGTCAGTGTGTGTATCTGTGGACCTGTATGTGTGTTAGTGTGTTTGTGTGTATTTGCATGTGGTCAGTGTGTATATCTTTGCATCTGTGTATCTGTATGTGAGTTAGTGGGTGGGTATATGCAAATTAGTTCCTCATTATTCAATTTTAAACATGGATTCCTTGGAGTTTGTGTTTGTTGTATACAACAGCTTTACAACACAAATCAGGAAGAGATGCAAAGCCAGTGAACCACTCATGGACAGCTGTTTAGTTGATAACAGCGCTGTATTTAGCGCAAGGCTAACAAGGCATTTGCCTTGTGCGGCACTTTCAGAGGGGCCCCCCCAAATGCACTGGTAGATGCCTGTTAGCCTTATTTCAGAGGGGGCACAAGAGCTGGCCGGTGAGCTGCCCCCTGAGTCAGGCAGCTGCTTATTATGAAGGTGGGTGGTGATTGAGCATTGTTCCCCGAGCTCTACCTGCTCTGCTCACTCGCGCGCACCACAGTGATAATGGGAGCCGGAATATAATGTCACTCCTGCTTCCAGTATCACTAACCAGTGTGCGAGGGAGCTGAGCAGGAAGATCACAACTCCCTTATTGCCTATATTAAACGTCCACCCGCTCACCATGCACCACAGGAGCCAGCCCAGTCAGCAGCAGCCCCATTGGACCCCAGGAACATCAGCCACACTGGACCCCAGGGCCATCAGCCCGATTGGACCCCAGGGAAGAATCCACTCCAGTTCTCCCAAAGGTAGGGAGGCTGGGTGGATTTAGATTAAAATTAAATAACATATAATTTGTGAGTGTGCTAGGCAATATGCATAAGTGTGTCAGTATCAAGTTGTTTATCAGTGAATGTGTGTGTGCGTGGTGTGTGTGTGTCTGTCAGTGAATGTGTGTCAGTGTGTATCTGAGTCAATGTGTGTGTCGGTCAGTGAATGTTTGTGTGTCTGTCAGTGTAAGTCTGTCAGTGAATGTGTCTGTCTGTCAGTATGCATGCATCTGTCAGAGTGTGTCCATCAGTGAATGTGTGTGTCCTTCAGTGAATGTTTGTGTGCACCACTGGTTGTTAATGCAACTCATTAACATGAGGTTGGCTACTGGCTTCCTATTGAGGCTTGACGTTAGTTGTGAAGCACAAACATAGAAAGTTATGGTGAGGAAACATTGTGATTGAAAAACCCTTCGACTGGATATGCACATATATACACATACATACATACATACATACATATAAATGCACTCAAGTGCACAAATATATATGCATGCACAGTTATATACAAATCCATACACAAGTATCAAAACATATACCTACATATATACAAATAAGAGCATATATATATATATATATATATATATAAATCCATATATATGCATACCCACACATGCATATACATGCATTCACATGCATCTATACATCTGTACATATAATGTGTGTGTGTATATATATATATATATATATATATATATATATACACACACACACATATACACAATTATATACTTTTTTCTTGCTTATTTCAACATAATAATATATTTAAAAATTGAACAAAAAATCTATATACAAAAAAAAAATCAGCATATTGCAATATGTATTTTTCCCCCAGAATTTTAAATCATTTGAAATGTTTATCCAAGCTAGTAATTAAATTATTTTAAATGCTTATCCAACAATATAAAATCAAGACCTATCTAAGGGCATCCATTATAATTATTTGGAATTGGCTGCTTCATTAGTTACAATAAAAAAGTTTAAGCAGTAGTCATCAAAGGCAAGCACCAACAGCACAATAAGTGTGAAGACGTTTTTTCAGTTTTCCATAATAGACCTGAAAGATGACAATTCTCTGGTTTAAATTCAACTACAATAACTTCCATACTGCTGTGTCATAAAATACAACACAAAACATATTATTGACGGCTGGAGGATAACGGTAGGCCTAGGAGCAAATTAATTTCCTGTCAGTTAGCCAATGTTTATCATGAATAATACACTCCTCTAAGTGTGTCATTGAATTGTCCTAAAAATATTGATAACAGGTTGCAATAATATCAGCAGCAGCCCTGACTGGATTTCAGCCATTTTGTTTTTTCTCGAAGTAACAATATTTTTTCACTAATATATTAAAAGAGGACTTGAATTTATATGAACGCTTTCTTCACACTGGGGAATCACCTGCTAAGAAATGCACAAAATCTATTTATTACTTAGTCAGCAAAACACAGTGAAAGAACATAAAATTTACAAGGTTCATTTAAGCCATAATGCAAGACAAGTTAAATTATGTACTTTATGCTCTGGTAGATATTGCAAGCCATCATAAGCGTGTTTTCAAAATGCAAATTAATGTCTTTTGAGATTACTGATAAACACTGCGTTCACAGGATGTAATTAGAGTGCCTTCCTGTTAAAGTTTTACAAAGTCTGTTAAAAAAAATGTTTTGAAAACATATAAATATAGATAATTTCATATGCAAAGTAGTAATGATTTCCACCTCTTTTTTTATCTGCCCCATCAAAATACGTGGCAACTCTATATAAGACAAAGGTTCATGTTAGTCTGTCTTTAGAAAACAGAAAACAAGTTATTAGCATCCTATAGAGACCACAAAGATGTTACATATGTTTGAACTGCGATCTGTAGCTTTTACAAGGGCCGTGTTTGCAGAATTTATAGCCACCATGTTATTTGTTTTATTTGGGCTAGGTTCAGCTTTGAATTGGCCAGGAACAGCGCCAAATATTTTACAGATTTCTTTAGCTTTCGGCCTTGGCATAGGAACCTTAGTCCAGACTTTTGGTCACGTAAGTGGAGCCCACATCAATCCAGCAGTGACCATCGCCTTTCTAGTGGGTTCCCAAATCTCTTTCATTCGTGCAGTTTTTTATGTAGGTGCCCAACTGCTTGGAGCTGTATCTGGAGCAGCCATTCTGCAAGAGGTAACACCTTTCAACGCAAGAGGAAATTTATCAATAAATGGGGTAAGAGCACGAAACCAGCAATTTATTGGTTGTTTTGAAATATTTCTAAATTGCAGCATTTCCAAGATACATTACTTGTACCCAGGGTTATGACTGCTTTAAATATTCTTAATAAATATAAACAAGTTTTTCTTAGTATTAAGGTTCAGGGTACGTTGGCATTTTTAACTTAGAATTTATGGCATTTTAATTTAGGATTTAAATAAACTTTAGTGATCGGGCTTAGAAAATCTGGATTCTTTAGAACAACTGATCCTGTAGCCTTCCATTGTCAAATTTCATTTTTTAAGTATTTAGTTTTATAGTAATTGCTATGTTTAACTTGTTGAATATAATACTCCTGAAATATTATATTTCGTGAAGTGATTCATGATTGTTATAACATAAGAAGCTAGCCGACACAATGTCTTATTGTTTTGTAAGCTTAATTATTTTGTTTAATAAGAAGACATTTTGATGTAAATATGGTTAAGTTAATAGATGTATGATTATTATGCTATGAAAAAAGCTCATTAACCCAAAATTTCAGTATGCTCTGTAAATGTTAAAAAGAACAAAAGAAAAAAGAAAGAAAAATCTCTTAAGTTGAAATACTATTTCACGATTTTGCCTATTATTAGGCTGCTAGATGTTATTACATTCATTCTTGACTGTTTAACATATTGTATTTTTTTGTATTGTACTGGCATGTAACATGGCCAAATTGATTCAAGCAGTATACGTTTAGAGTAAAGATATTTATCTATAGGCTCTTATTTTATATTTTTACCTCTCCCTTTTTCTGATTAGTTATTTGACTACATAGTATGTTTGTGACTTACACATGTTAAATGAGGGATAAATAGAAAATCATCATGGTTGTAAAAGTGGTACAAAGTTGTAGAGGTACATTAGTTACCAATAGAATGTACCTGCTGATTTTTTTTTATCTCTGCTCTTTGATGGGTAGATGATGCATGCCATTAAGATACATATACATTGTCAACTGACTCAATTAATTGCTAAATAATTAAAATATAATTTAAAGCTGGATACATCATATTTATTTCCTTGTCTTTTATGTTGCAATCTGAATGACCCAAAAGTAACATTGCATCATTCACTGCACAATATTTGACAGGTTTTCTTTCTTTTTCAGTTGTTCAATACAACAACGGCAGGAGAAGCTTTCTCTGTTGAGCTGTTACTCACTCTCCAGCTTGTTTTGTGTATTTTTGCCTCCACGGATGATAGGAGATCTGATAATGTTGGGTGTCCAGCTCTGTCCATTGGATTTTCTGTTGCAATTGGTCACCTTCTTGGTGTAGGTATAAGAATGTTTCCTAAAGATAAAATATAAATAAATATTCTAGACCAGGGGTAGGCAACCTATGTCACTCCAGATGTTGTGGACTACATTCACCATGATGCTTTGCCAGCATTATGGATGTAAGAGGTGTAGTCCTGAACATCTGGAGTGCTTAAGGTTAACACCTTATATTGGTTCGTGCATAAATAGCAAAAGTACAATATTAAAACTGACTTTTTAGCATACAGCAATATAAATTATTATATGGAGAGTGATAAAATGAATGAATGGTAACCAAATACCGGTAGTAATAGTAATGAAAAGAAGAAATTAATGAATGCTAACTGAATAATAATAATAATACTGAAAGAATGGTATTGGTAGTACAAGCAACTTTATTATATAGGCCATTCACATTAGGCTCTCCTCATAGGAAAGCATTACTTCAATGCTTTCCCATGGGAATTTAACTGACGCTGGATGTCCTCATGCAGACTGTGATGACCAGTGTCAGTTAGGCGACCAAAAGTTGTCTAGCCACCAGGAAGTGTCTCTAGTGGCTGTCTGATTGATAGAGGCCGACACAGTTTTAAAAACTCTGTAATGATGTACATTGTAGGACTAAGTGGGATTGGAACACTGCACCAAGACCTTCAGTAAGCTAACGTGATCTGGGACCATGGTGTTCCTTTAAGATCCTGCAGGGTCCTACGTAGCTTAATTTGTCACATAAGGATTGTAGGGCCAAGCAAATGCAGGGTTTTTGGTGCCCCTGTCTAACCTCTGGGCCCTAAGCAGCTGTCTAGGGTCACCTTATGGTAAATCCTGCTCTGCCAGAACCACATTACCACAGACCAGTAGTCCCCAACCCAGTCCTCAAGACATATCAATAGTCAGGTTTTGTCACTATACTTTTCAGAAAATAACTTAGAATGCCTAACTTCTAGACTCTTAAAATGTTTTGACGATTGAATTAGGAACTACTGGTATAGGTGCCATTATTTAGTGTATAGTTCTGCATAATGAATTGTAGAAGCAATTTGTAGATCCATATGCTGCCCAGTACACATGACCTATTTATCATTAAATCTAACAGTCAATTTTCTCCAAAACAAAGCATGAAACCGGGGAACAAATGTACACATACCTTTATTAAATGCAATGAATAACCACATAACATGTTGTATAATAATGTCTGCTTGCCATTAACAGTAAAATGTCTTCAATTACAATGAAAATCTAATTATCTATCTATCTGTCTATCTATCTATCTATCGATCTATCTATCAGGTGGTGAAGACCCGATATTCAGATAATAAAGCACAACCTGTTATTGTGGTATGATATATAGCAGGTGTGCCTAAAAGGCAGATCCCTAGATATTTTAAAACGACAGCGTCCACGATGCTTTGTCATTCTAAAGGCATACGACATCTAAGAACTACAACTCCCAGATGTTGTAGAACTAGATCTCCCATGATGACTGCATGCCTTTTATACCCCTGGTATACAGTGCTTTGAATGGGCAACCTTGCACATTTATAATCACTATGTATTCAATCAGTTGTTACCAACTTAAAAACACAACAAAAACAAGCTGACAGAAAATGTTATTTTTTTTCTAAATGTTAGAATACTACACTTTTACAGTGAATAGAACATTTGTATTTTTTCCCAGATGTAACTATATATGTGTGCCTAATAAGTAATATATGATACTCTCTTAGATAAACTATACTGGCTGCTCAATGAACCCTGCACGATCCTTTGCACCTGCAGTTGTAACAGGAGATTTCACTGTCCAGTGGGTAAGATTAACCATAAGTCTATTATTTGTATGCACTTGTGTGACAAATGCATCATTAAATAGAGGAATCCATGCCATGAACTGGTATTAAGGTATATGGAATGCATTTTTATTTATTCAAGATGGGTAAGGTCAATGTCAGGTGAAATATGAATAATTGTGAAAGTTAATGTTATCAGTAAGACAATATTATTGTTTGCTTTACAATCCAAGCTAAAATGTTTATGTAATTTTCCATTTTTTTTTAATCACTAGGATGAGTAATTTTGTTATTTAAATGCATCTGAAATTGAAAATAAAAGCACTTTTATTATAGGTGGAATAAGTGGAATGATTCCAACCTACATCAACATTTTCACAGAAAGTAGCAAATTCTAACATCAGATTTCATTTCCTAATTGTGGAAAAATTGAATATAACAAATTAATACCACCTTGTTGAGTTGATGCTTTGCATTTTATAGAGAATGATATTTTAATTTTAAAAAAGAGTGCCCAACTGCCTTTTTGCATAAAAGCATAAAAAAATGATGAGTGTAAATTAGGGAACTAGTTTAAAATCAGCAATACCATTGAGAACTCCACCTGCAGAAAACCTGATCTGTAGAGATTTTGCTGAAGTTGAACATGAGCAAAGAAAGCCCTAACAGAGAAATCTGCATCATATCAAAAGGTAAACCGAGTGGGGCTTTATTGGTTACATTTTGCAGAACACAATGCAAATTGGCATATGCACACCAGTTGTTTGGCTGGAAGGTGTCACGGTCCGGAATAACCTAAAATGGAAACTTTAGGAAAGATTGCAGACAGACAAGATTAGTTATATAACTGGTCCTAAGACCTAAGGCCAGGCTTAAACCCAAAAGTAGCCAAAGTAGCTATATAAAATACCAGCAAGATGGTAACTCAGAGTGAGAGGCAAGCCATGGTCGGGATTCCAGAAAGAGACAAAACGATAAACAGAGGCTAGGACAGGGATATGGAAGTCAAGATAGTCAAACTCAGTCCATGGGTCAATACCAAGAACAAATCCTAAGTAATCCTAAGTATTCAAATGCATCAATATATATAAATGGGGTTAATCCTATTAAGGAAAGAAATGGCACAACATAGTGAAAAACTGTGCATTTACAGTGTTTAATGCCATTTCTTTCCTTAATAGGATTAACCCCATTTATATATATTGATTAATTGTGAAGACTATTTCGAGGAAATCTTTGGGTTTATATCCAAAAGGGAAGTGTATTCTTAATTACTCTATTTTGTATAAATAATTGCACTTTGAGCACTTTGTTTAGAAGTGAAAGTCACTATTGTATTGTATTATATTATATAATCAAATGCATACCTAGGAACAAAAACCATGACAGGGCATCACAGCAATGTAGAGGGCAGATTAAATAGGTGTAGAAAGTTTCTATTGGCCGGCATCATGTTCCTACACCAAAATGTGTGAGAATAGTGATGTTGGAGTTGAGCCATGAAAACTGTCATCTTAGAATGACGCAGGGTGCCACCGTCCATATAAATAAATGTCTTATATATGTGTACATCTTTCTGGCACCAGACTGAGTAGGCATAATTGGTATTGAGTGGTCATTGGTGTAGTTGAATCTGTTGTCAAGATTGACTCAGGAATGCTGCTCGGCCTAGGAATGAGATCACCGAGAGGCACATAAAGGGCAACTACTGTGACAGAAGGTTACTAAAGTTAAATTTAAAAAAAAAAAATGAACCCATGCATTCTGGAAAATGTTCTTGATTAATATAGATAACAGCATTTATTTTTTTAATGAAAACATATTATCTGAAAACTCAGCAAAACAACTGGGAGAATAGTCTTCAAAAGATTAGATGGTGATAGACATTGCTAGAGGTCTTCAGTAAGGCAGCAAAATAATACAAACAAAAATCAGATCAGAAAATAAGAAAAGTGAATGAGTAAAATATCATATTGGCTAAGACTGTATGAAAAGCATGTAACAAGGAAATATTAATGAAGGAAATAGAAGCACATACCAGGTAAAACAATAAAGGACCAACTGAAAAACTCAAAAACTAATCATTTATATAGGGAATATAAGAAATGAAAACTATCAACAGAATTTTCTAATTGAATGACTTTTACTGAGAAAACAGAAAGGTTCTACATAGAACAGTAGCTTTATAATAACTTGTGATGGAACCTTGGACAGTAACATCCACTCTAGTGATTATTTAAAGAAGAGTTGAAGATTGTTCTTCCATTTACTATGTGAATATTAATATCGATTACAACAGTATTTGGTAGTCAATCATTTCAGGGTAAATTACATTTTATGTATCACACCAAGGTCCACTAAAACTCTGTACACACATGGAAATTTCGGCTTTTTGAACATCAAAAGCAAATTAATATTTAGGATATTTCATGTTTTAATTGGGTCTTGAATAATCAAATTATCATAAGTTAGTTAAAAAGGCAAAAAGTATACCTATGGCTTTGACTCTATCATTAAACAGAAATACATGGTTATATCTCTAATGGATCTTTTCACAGGTTTTCTGGCTGGGGCCAATAACTGGTGCTATTTTAGGATCCCTAATTTACCACTACGTTCTCGTCCCAAACACCAAGACCCTTTCTGAAAAGTTGGCGATCTTGCGAGGAATGATGGACCCTGAAGAGGATTGGGAAGAGAGAGATGTCCGTAGAAGGCAGTCGGTGGAGCTACATTCCCCCCAAACAATGCCAAGAAATGGGATGACACAAAAAGTCTAACATTTGCATCAATTAGATGCACCTGTGGCAATGCTAGTGAAAAGCAGCAATAATGTTCAGTGAATGTTTTGGGTTTCATCCAAACTTCCAAAGAACACTCTTAGGGGAGGCAGCAAGGGCATCCCTAGGTGTTGGCCAAGTAACCTTTAATTACCATTAATGAATCCGAGATACGTGTCTTTGTTTCCCTTGGTTGCTTTGCTGACTGTCAGTATTAGCAAGCTCTAAGGTGTTTTTGTTCCAAACCAGGGACATTTGACGTGGTATTCCAATTGTTGGAGACTACATTTCCCATGGTTCCAGTGATGGATATGTTTTAAATGTTACAACTGCTATGCTTTATGTTTCCCGTTGCCCCAGTGAAGACTAATACAGAAAAAAGATTATCCATACAAGCCAGAATGCCATAAGTCAGTCATCAATTTTCTATAAGTAGATTGCTACTTTGCGTTGGTTAAGAATTCTCAGTTTTAAACATTTATCTTTTTTTAGCATAATTGCAGAATCATCTAATTTTAATTAAATGCACCTTTTAGGCTATCAAGCAAAAACAACAACAATCTGCTATTGAAACTTGACATCTGACAAATCAATCAACAATCTTTTGCATATTATCAAGCAGAGCAGAAAAGTTAGACTGTGTTTGAATGAAGCATTGCTGAATGCAAAAATATGTCCTCTAGCTGTGCAATTGTGTTAGATATATAAATAGACTTTTATATCCCAAAGGATCATTGCTTTTTACATTGCTACAAGAATGGCATGTTTATTTTTAATGTACAACTACTTCACTAGTAAGATCGTCCAAAGGAAATAACCAAAATAATTTATTTTCATCATGGCAAATTATTTTTTTTCAAAAATGTGAATAATTGGCAAAGTAAATAATGCCAAAACATTGCCAACTTTCATGTATTTATTTATGTTACTATAAAGATAAAATCATATATAATATTCAACTGAGAATACTGTATAGCCAAATATTGTAAAATATATATTAAAACATGCTTACATTTCACCAATAACAGCTAATAACAGCTAAATCTCAACATCAGTTTAATTGTTTTGCATCTCACATGTATAATTACTGAATAATTTGTAAAATTCTAGTCTATTTTAATTTTTTTTTTGCTGCCTCTGTATACATAAGTATTGGAGATAAATAAAGGATCTCCCCAAGCATCATAACCTGCAGCACACTCTGGTGCCCTGGTACCCCTTACCCTTCAGGGTAAGTAGTCAAACTACTTACTAACTTTTTAAAACTTTTTTACAATTTCCTTTGGGTCTTCCAGGGGCCAGTCTCTTTCTCCATTGACAGCTGGACACTCCCGCTTCTGTTAGCTCTAATGAGCTAAACCTGGCTGTACATGCCCAGCTCATTTGCTGATCACATGATCGATCTCAGCCTTGCACCGCTATGGCTAACTGAAAGCATTGAGCTTCTTGCTGTAATGGGGGAGGTGACTGGCATGCAGCTGATCCCAGATGGTAAGTTGTCAAACTGTTAGCATATGGAGGACATCAGGGCACCCAGGTACCAAAACCATCACAGCACACTGCAGTGGTTATGGTGTTTGGAGTGTTTTCTTTATGTAGAAATGTCATAATGTTCCTCTAGATGCTGTAATCACCTTTCTATTTTTCTTAAACAATCACAATTATTTATTTAAAAAAGCATTCCGAGCCCAGGGAGGGGGGCTGAAATCTAATTACATAATAATATGCTCCAGCATTATAAACAAATTCATTTATTTCTTCTAATGCTTGAGTTTTCCTATAGCTACGTTTAACTTGCTTGCTACATTATGTAACATTCTGTGTTATGATAACCTATATCTTGTTAAAACCCCAAAAAACAAAAAACAGTGTGCGCACTTTAAAACTGGCATTCAACAGCACTGCTTTAATTCTCCAAGTTGTGTAATATTTTGCAATGTAATTGGCTACACGCCCAGCTGCACTCAAAACGTTTAATCATCACTGTATTTAAGCTATCAAATGTACATGGAAAGTATGGTGAGTTTGGATCATTAGAGGAACCAGTTTTTATTCTAGTGCTAAAATAATATGAACAGACATGTTTAAATAGTTTCAGGACTTTGCTTCAGGACAAACATTTAATTATTATTATTATTATTTTTGCTACAATTTAGGGACACTATAGTCACCCTGGCCACTTCATTTCAATTAACTATTTCAGAGGTATATTTATTTGGCAAGTATATCATTGAATACGTACCAATATTACAAGAAAATAATTAAATACAAAAATACTGATACTTTGTATAAAATGAATTATCTTATGATGTGCCCATATATGTTGTAATCTCCAGTGTGAGCTCTATATCAGGGATAGGCAACCTCCGTCACTCCAGATGATCATTTGCCAGCATAATGGCTGTAAAAGCAATGCATAATGGGAGATGTAGTCCATAATATCTGAAGTGCGTGGGCTATATATACACAGCACATAAGTCCTCTCTAATGTAGTATACGTTAATGTACTAAATAAATGGATTTGCAGTGCATATTAAAACCAATTTTGACCCTAAGCACAAGGCTAGCAGAGGACTAAGGGAGATGCACTTCGACAGCTGATAAAGGGGTATGAGCAAACACCTGCAATCTTTATTAAAGTAACATTCCAAGCACTATGACCACTATAGCATGCTGTAGTGGTTATGGGGACAGAAATGTGTTGGTTCCACCCAATGCACAAAGTTAAACCATTTACTAAAGGTTTGACATCTTATTTCTGGGGTATTTCCTGGGGTTAACTGATGCTCTCAGCTAATGAGCTAGTCCTGCACTACTAACGTTAGCTCAGGAGAGCTAACAGAAGCTCATTGCCGTCATTGCAGTAGTGGCATGGTCTATATAGCTGAAGAGGAGAGACATGGTGAGATGATGCCTTTAAGTAATTTAAGTTACAAGGTAGGACAATTTTATGAGATGTTGTTCCAGCACATCCCTCAGATTGAGATTTGGGGAATTTGGAGGACAAGGCAACACCTTTAACTCTTTGTCATCTTCCTCAAACCATTCCTGAACACTTTTTGCAGTGTGGCAGGGTGAAAGACTCCACTTCAATAAGAAAATACCATTGCCATGAAGGGGTGTATGTGGTCTGCAACAATCTCTAGGTAGGCGGTACATGCAAAATAACATCCACATGAATTCCACGAACCAAGCTTTTCCCAGCAGAACATTACCTAGGACATAAGGCTGCCTCCACTGGTCTGTCTCTTTTCAGTACATCCTGCTGCCATCTCTTCCCCAGGTAGATGATGCACACATACCTGGTCATCCACCTAATCTAAAATGTGATTAATCAGACCAGACAACTTTCTTCCATTGCTCTATTGTCCAGTTCTGATACCCATTTACCCATTGAAGGCACTTTCAGTGATGGACAGGGGTCATCATAAGCACTCTGACTGGTCTGCGGCTATGCAGCATTATACACAGGAAACTGTGATGCACTGTGTTTTCTGACACCTTTCTATCATGGCAGGCATTAAATTTTTCAGCAATTTGAGCTACAGTAACTCTTGTTTGTGGTCAGACCAGAGCCTTTGCTCCCCTGTGCATCAATGAGCCTTGGGCACCCATGACCTTTTGGAAGGTATTAACAACTGCATACCAGGAACACCTCACAAGACTTGTCTATTTGGAGATTCTTTGACCCAGTCGTCTAGACATCACAATTTGTCAATCAAAATTTTTATGAGTGTAAATGGTACATTACAAGCAAAAACACTGTACACATTGCCAGACAAGTATACACACAGAATAAATGTTTTTCGTACATGTTGAACTGCAACTAAGTTTTCTGTTTGTTTGTTTAATGAAAAAAAAAACACATTAGGCATGTTATCATATGTAGAAGAAAGGACAGGTAGGCATAGGTATCAGTGAGCCAGTAGGGTAGTGAAAGGTTTCCTGTCTGCTAGACACACTTCAGACATCACGTTCTGCAATAAGACATATGACAGTAATGTGGGGAATGAACAGTGAGAAGACTGTAAAAAGAGTGCCATAACACAAAGCTAGATGTGAAGAAAGCTATATTCCAAAAAAGATCAACTGGCCTACTATACAACTATGTACCACTGGCATCTGAGTGTGCGGTATTGAAAAAAACATATAGTTTAGATCTAGTAGATATTCATCTGACAGGACCCACTCCGAACACATGTTAAAATGGGCAAAATGCTCTAAGCAAGAAATAATAATAAGACATAAGTTGTAACCCGCATATAGCCAGGACACTCTACTGGAGATTCTGCACTTAAATGCCATGGGCCATGATATCAGCCTATTCCCATTCTCAGAGAAGGCTTCCAATAGTGCTGAGATGCAGGTCAAAGGTCCCGATGCTTCTCACAAGTAACATAGCTCCAGCACAAGTCCTGAATCAGAGCCAAGATACAAACTCCATGGACCCCACCCTCTGCTGAGTGTCGGTCAGTGTCCCCAAAGAGTTCCATCGAGTTCCCTATTTGCAGGAGTGTGACTGAGTGAACCTCCAAGGATGTGGACTAAGTCCAGTGCAAATACCCGGTGAGGCCCCAGGCCCAAGTAGGGTATAGCCCACCTTGATTTCTCCCAGACAGCCTCCCGACTTTCATGCTTTTGGTGGCCTGGTGTTTCCATCCCTATTTGGCCTTTGTCAAAGTCACTCAGATATTTAGGCTTGTCCATTTTTCCTGCTTCCAAAACATGAAATTCGAGAACTGACTGTTCACTTGCTGCCAAATGTACCCCACCCTTAACTTAATCAGCATTATTCACGTCACCTGTCACTGGTTTAAATGTAGTGGCTGATCAGGGTACTACTACAAGATACTACCCTTATATTTCTTGTAGAGGTAATATTGTTCTTGTATATGCATTTTTAATATTTTGGGAAATAAAATGTGTTTATTTTCCCTCTCTATGTTTCCTCTACCTTCCTCTGGTCCTTCCATATAGTATACAGTATAGTAGGATTTTTCTTCACAATGTCATTCCTTTCCAGGTTTACATATGTGCTTCCTGTGTTCCATCTCTCTTGCAACAAACTCTCAAGATCTGCACCCATTAATCTACCCATCCTCTCCTCTTCCCCCCATGACCTCACACCCTCTGCCCCCCGCCCCGTCTGCCCCCACCCCTCCTCCCACACACACACAAACCCCCTTGCTACACCTTGTTTTGTATCATGGTTGAAATCCTACCTACATACATCCTTAACTAAATCTTTATCCAAAGTTTTTATTCCAAAACATAAACTTATTCAATGTCATCTTTAAACATTAGTAAAATATAATCAAAAGGTTCAACAATTCAAAAACTGATTCCAAAGACACATTTAAATATATTTTTGTTGAAAAAGTTTAAATTCAGTAAGAATTATAACATATCTAATTAATGTAATTGCTTTTTATGTGAAATGTGTGATTGCATCATTTCCAAGTATTATCCTCGTATATTGACACATGGGAAGTTACAATCATTAGCGAAAACAAACCTAATCCAATCTGGTTTTACTTGTTTACAACACTGGCTAAATGATGCAGGACGTATTAATGGGCATTTCTCATGTTGGACAATTGTTCTTTCCTGGGAGAAATGCCCAGGGTTCTTTCCTGGGAGAAATGCATTATATTATTATAGGGTTGTTTTGATTGTCCAACAGTATTTTTGAAAACAAGGTTTTGAGGGATGCTCTCTTTATCAAGTCATTTTTTTTTATAAACAACTTACAGGGACCATCAAGTCACTATTTATATATGAAAAAAAATCTCCATTTTAATTCAGTATTTAATATAATTTAAGGACTTTCTATGCACCACAAGTGTCTGAAATGACAGGGCAGCTGACGGCAATTCCAACAAAGGATTTTGCAGAGTGTTTTGATCAGTGGAAGAGACACTGGAAGAACTGTGTGAGGCCCCAAGGTGCTTTCTTTGAAGGGTAATAAGGCATCACTGTCCTATGTACAATTTTTCTTGTATCTATCCTCTACTCTATGTTTTATATTAAATGGCCGGTTGTTTTCTGGACAGACTTTGTATACTGTATCATAATAGCCTTTTTGTGTTTATGTTTATTTTATGAGTAATACAATCCAATATTGCCCTCATACATCCCAACAACATCATCATTATCAGAATTATGTATACATTCACTTTATTTAGTATTTACATTTAATTCTTTAAAGTCATTGTAGACATAGTAAATTGTATTTTTCAGATGGACCTGATATGCATCTGTAGTTATGGAAATGAATTAACATAATGTCTGTACCTCTGGTGTTCTTACTATGATCAAATAATTATATTATTTTACCTCCGTGAAACTTTTCGACTTTGTAAGAAACTCACAGTTATCTATTTTTAATGGTCAATGTGTAGATCCCAGTATGTAAGTTTTAAAACCCTCGAGCAGTTCATTAGTGTTTAGTGGTAGAATATATTAGATATATATGAGCTGACCGATGACATTCAAACCAGGATTTACTGGCAGGCTTTAGATAGCTTATTCTAAATCAAAGTGCAAAACACTATGAGAAAGAATACAGAAGGAAACAAAGAAAAGTTCCTGAGCATTCTGCATTAAGATTAGTAGAGAATAGTCAAAGTTGGTCAAGTATACCAGGAGCCTGGTTCATATGTCAGATAAGCTGAATTGTGAAGAGTATTATAGACCTCAAGATCCAATTATAGAGACAGAGTGTTATTAAAGATACAATCAACAGAAAAACATGTCATGTAATATTATTATTATTATTTTATTATTCCGCAGCGCTATACAATGGGACGCATACAGATACGTAATTGTAACCAGACGAGTTGGACGCACAGGAACAGAGAGGTTTAGGGCTCTGCTCAATGAGCTTACATGCTAGAGGGAGTGAGATATAGTGACACAAAGGCAAAAAGTATTGGTATCAAAGTAAGGTTGCTAGAAATGTATTCACTGAAGGCTTAGTAGGTTAGTTTTGATACATGCAGGAACGGAATCAAGGTGTGGGGATGAAAGCCGTTAACAGTTTAATTGATACACTTTTCTGAATAAGTGAATTTTCAATGATTTTTTTAAGGAATGGAAACTGGGTGAAAGTCAAATGGAGAAGGGAATGGATTTCCACAGAAAAGGTGCAACCCTGGAGAAGTCTTGTATAGGTGTAGGAAGAAAGCAAATGTTCCTACAGCCATAGTAAAACGTCTCTGAACATTCACCTAGAATAACACTTGTTTTGCCTTGAGATATCTCCCTAATACTTTCTTAAAGTGCAAGGAGTTTGGATGTGCAGCATTTCAGTAAGTCCACCTTTGGCAGCATCATTAACAGGCTAATGTTAATACCGTGCATAGATTGCATCTGTCATTTGCAAGCATGGTATGGTGGCAATGGATGGCCAATGGTGGCTCAGTCTTTCCTGTCCATGCCACACTAAGTCCTCCCTCAGCCATTCCATCCTGACCTCATGGAGTGATGGCATGGATGGTGGGTTGGGCTGCAGCGTGAAGTTGATTTCTGCGTTGTAGTTACATATTTTTTCATTTATTTAGATTTTTAAGTGAGTGGACTGTGACAGCAAAGTTTTTTTATACACAATGTTGTTTAATCAAAAATGCATTAAATATGAATTTTTATTTTTTTATTTAATAGTTTTGTGGGTGGTAACAATACAACATTTATATAAGAACCCTACAATACATTTCCGTAGCACAAAACAACTAACTTCTAGTGGTAGCAAGCAAACGCTCATCAAATTAGCCATATTTCATAACATAGATGTCAGGATTACTGTATGATCCAGCACATAGCATTGTGTAACACAGGTGACTGATTACCGGTAATGTATTACCGGGCCTTAGAATGGCCGGACTAACGTACCTAAGAATAGTTAGGAATATCCTCAGGGGTCAGAGGACACAGAAAGGGACACAACGATAAAGGAAAGCCAGAGGTCAAGGATGCCAGAAAACAGTGAAGTCAAAATCAATACCAAAGTCAAATAACCAGAATGACCAGAATCAATAACATGCTCTCGGACAAACACTAGGGAAACCACGACAGGGCAATGAGTGTCAGGTATAATGAGGTTTAAATACCTGTTCCAATCTTCTGATTGGCGCGCCGACGTTGTCAATCACGTTAGCAGATGTGGGGGTATATTTTGCCATGGATCCGCAGCGGCTGGTGTCCATTAACATGATGCAAGTGTCAGTCATGCAGACGCACGGCCGCTGGGTGCAGAGACCGCAAGGTGAGGAAGAATATGTTACAGTAGATGATTGTTTCACAATACACCTTTAATATTAAAGAAGTATAATATGCACTTAATAATTGATGCACTTTAATAGATTTTATAGCGCAACACTATTATTGGTTAAGGTCGGTTTTATAACTTTGTAACTTGGTCAGTTACAGGAATTACAGTTACATTAATTTTATTTTATTTTTATAAACAAGTTAATATGATGTTTCTAATATATTGTATATTGTCCATTTAAAGATTGAAATATATTAGAATTTGTCCTTTATTTGTTTCTACCCTTTTATTGACAGACAGTTAATCATTTCTTGCTCATAAAACAATCAAGACAAGAATAAATAGT